TCCATTTTTAATGCTCGATTGGAATAACCGTCTTTCGTTATAGTCGCCATATTGGGGATCACATACGATGCGACTTCCAGACATTGCCCGGTCCCTCCGCGCTGTCTTGGGAGCGGTTACAGCTTTTGAATGAACTGTTTGGGAAGTACTTGCAGTTGTGGTAAGATTTTTTCTCGGCTTGATATTCTTTGAAGAGATGGCGTTCGCATTCGTACCGTGGGCGACCGGAGTGGCATTCGCTTCTGTTGCTGTAACCATGGCGAGTAAAGAGATAGCAAGGGCGCAGGAGAATATGCTCTACGACTCGCGGAGAGCTGCAGCCGGGGTGAGTCGTTTCTGGTTATCACTCACTCTGTCCAGGAACCCTTTTGGTGTGGTATTCCTGTTCAGATAACTCCATATCGGCCGCACTGTCCTACTCGGAAGCCGTCGATCTTCTCCCCTCAAGTGTCCAATATGGTCCTAATGCGTGTGTATAACCAGTTCTTTGGTCATGGTACGGAAGACTATATGTACCGACTGCAGTGGTGATGTACCGAGCCACGGTCAGTGTGATTACTATCATTACTATTTAATTGCTCATCGGGAGTTCCGAGTTACTGCTGATTGTCGGGGGACTGTCGAAATGTGTCACAGCTCGCCGAATGAATGTGATATGAGCTCCGTTGTATTACGAATGTTGTGGATACAGCGGTCGAGACTCTGGCTTTATATATGACTGACTCTCGGTTATCTTGAAGTTACTTGAGGGCGGCACCTTGGGTCTTTTTCTAACTTCCCTCCATGGACCCACCGCCACTTGCACGTCAATCATCTCTGTCGAGCATAGAGTCTCGCCGTCCCAGCGAGTCTCCACAGCCGTTCTTCTTACTATCGAGACATCTTGGGCGGACACCAACACCCCGCTCCTTCAGTTCGCATCGTGAGAATGCCTTGGAGAACGGTGCAGCGAGGGACACGGAACAACCCTTAGTCAGGGAGAGGAAGAAAGTATGCGAATGAGATTGCAATCGACCTTTAATAGAGTCTCAATGGATATCCTCATCGAGAATGTTCTCACTAATGCCGTGGCTCGGGATTGAACCTGCGACCTGTTTTTCAGCCTCGAGTAACAAACTATCACCGAGCCTTCAACATAGTAGATTTCTACTCCTCGTATGATGATGTTCCCGATCAGCCAAGAGTAAGCAATACGCCATATCCAAGACGGCGAAGTTGTGATGGATCCTTGTGTCAGGTCTTTCTCGCGAGTTCTAAGGCCACTGCTGGGAGCCGCAAGGGCTTTCTAAGACGGCTGCACATGAAGTTCTGGACCTTGCTGGCGCTCCTTGCCGTGCT